AATAAAGTAATGAATGAAGGACTGACCTTCCACACAGTTGGTGGAGAAGAAGCCAATGTTTCTGGTCTCCAGGGGGTTTTCATGAGTCAACTCTGGAGAACGAGTCTGAGGCTCTGACTCTCCGGTGAGAGATGAGTTATCCACCTGAGAAAGACAGACTGGATGTACAGTCTTTCTGATCTCAGGCTTCTTACTAAGACTATAGGTTGATAAACAAAGCTGATCTCAGATGTGAGATCTTTCTCTTAACATCTGTCTACATAAATCGCACTCTCTCTACCTTGCAGCCGCTGGAGGAGATGATTCGAAGGTCTGCTGGGATTCTGTCTCCACCCTTGATCTCCACCAGGTCTCCCTGAACCACCTCTTCTGCATTTATCTGAAACTTCTCTCCCTCGCGAATCACCAGAGCTTGCTGAAAGAAATAAAGTCCATTCCAAAGTTCCTCAAACAAGACGATGAAGAAAAGTTATTTAGGGAGAGGCCTGTAACAGTGAACATGTCAGAACAGAGTTTGTAATATGCAACCTATACTCTACGAAAGAAACACATTCATGTATATCTGTTTGAGTGTGTATATTTATAGATGATAAACTGCTTTACCATGGAGCCATTTTTGGTTATTCAATCATACAGACATTTTTAAATGTCATGCTTTCTTTAATGTTACCATGTATACTGCATTTAATTAAGTAACTTTAAAATTACCCTTAATTTAATTTAATAATTTAATTTAAGTTAATTTTTATTTTACCATTTATACTTTATTTAATTTTAAAGTTACTTTAAAATGACAGCATTTAATTTAATTATACTTAATAAATTAATTTAGCAAAAGTCTAGTCCCTGTCTTTTATATTGCTCTTTATTTCTTTACTTTACTTCACCATATTTATTTTCTGCATTGTGAATTTCTGTATTGTATGAACTGTTGCAACACTGTACCCAGCATGCCAACAAAGATAATTCTGAGAGAGGGGGGTGGCGGGATGACATGTGGTTTCTTTC